ACAAGGGCTTTGATAACTTTTTGAAAGCACTAGTACTATACGTTTTTGGGGAAAAAAACCAGCGTTTGATGTTCTTCATTAAATCAACTAATAATATGACAAATACAGTGAATTTCAAACAAAATCAAACAACACTAAAATTATTGGCACACAAAATTTTAGATTGATGACCAAAAACGAAAATAATTTCATTACCAAAAACGCAGAAAATGAACGCCATTAATGAGGAAGTGCATTCGAATTAATCTTGACATTTCATCATCGTTTTTACGCAATGAAACAATCGAAGAGGAATAAATCTAACTTGCATACAAGCCCAATGGTAGCATTTTCGAGGTTTACGGTAAGGTTCGTATTACTCGATGAAATAATGTGAGATGCACGCGAATTATTGGCGATAAACGTGATCAACGGCTTAAAGAGAGCCGATCCGCGGGCACTATCCAGAAACACGACAACGTCCTCGATTGAACACAATACACGGATACATTCTACTATACTGGTCAACTGCACCGCATGCATTTCGTCGCTACCTTCAAACGAATCACCAACATTTTTATTACCCTATTCAAGTGCACTCTGAACACTTTTAAATATTATAACATCACGAATACCTTTGGTAGTTTTTCACTTCGGTTTTACTGAAATTTATACTACTGGAAGCATTGTAAAATTTATCGCTATTAGTGTACGTCTCTTTTTGGCGCTTTAGAAAAAAAATTAACGAATGGGACTAAATTGACGTCTGAAAAAAGTCAGTATTTTGAGACATATTCACTGCATCTCAGGTTCAGAACCCAAAGGCAAAACTGCACAACACTCCAGAAATTTTAGCCACTATTATATCCTATCAGACAAAATAAGTTTTCTTGTTTAAGAGTTCAGAACAGTGTATTATGGGGATGAAGGAAGTGTGGGACGGGGACGAAATTTGTAGTCTCCAAAAATTCGGTTGCTCAGAAAAATTCGGGGATAGGGACGGTGAAACGGGAGCGGATCCCGATCTCGAATTCTTTCAGAGCAACCACACTTTCGGGGTCCCCGATTGCAAAATTCATTCAGTGCCCGCACCACACTAGTTGAGAGGTATCGAATGTCCATTATTCCCTTACTTTTACACAACGTTATTGCGTAATCAACCCAAGTCTGTAGGATCGATGCTGATAACAATGCTCGAATGGCAGTTGCCGACTGACACATACGTCCAACAACGGTCATTGCTTCAGACGACGGTATGATTATATCTGCAACGAATCAACACTCTTCTTCATTTTAATTCAATATTTTCAGAAGTACAAGAAATACGTTATCAACTTTGGTCTGTTCAATCATTTTATTCCAAAGAGAACATGAACTCATCTCAATTTGTGAATGACAAATTTCACAACCGTTGAAAAATAAGAATAGTTCATTTGAATGAATAATCAAATGAACAGCCGGGAAAAAAGTATACTTTCGAAGGAAAGGACATTAATTTATCAGTTTTACAAAAGACATACACAACGAAATTTCATGAAAGCGTCTTCGAAAGCAGAGAAATGAAAAAAGATTCAAGAATTCCGAAATTACTTCTCTGAGATGCTTCATCGAAACCAAGAAATCGTAACGAATCATCGAGATGCGCTGGTGCACATCGAATCAATGAACAAAGCAGCCACGATGCCGATTCACACATTGCATTTCGCCATCTACGCTGTTCATTTAACGCTACTCCGCATAATCCACTATAATCTTTTAATTGTTAACAAATACTGATGTGCATAAAAATTTCCAATTATTCCATTCAAAACGATTCATTTACACTTTCGACACCAACCACAAACTATTGCGCAGCAAAACTATTGTTCATGAGTGCAAACAAAGAACAATTTCTTAGCGATTATCACGGTAAAAGGACATTCAAGCGGATAACGTGTTATTATTACTGTTACGATGCTAATAGGTTTTTGTTTGAAAATTTGACTTCTGGACTGGATTGCAATTCTTTCGCACTAAATAAACAACCGTCGTGAATGGCTACTGGATCGACTAAAATCACATTCGCTACAAATATATAAACAACATACGCAATTAATTTCGAGCCAACTTCCACGCAGACTGCAATCGTGTCGAAATGCATACTTTCGTCACTCACGTTATTCCAAATCGCACAAGATGCGGACCACATGAGAACTGCAACTGCTTCCTGAAATATCGAACCAATGAATAGTAGTTAGGAGAAAAATGCCTTTTGGTTTTTATTTAAAATTGCTAGTAAGAATGACATGAACAAAAAATTACACTGTTGGCGTTCTGCAATGAATTTGAGATTGACTGATAGAAGTTTGGTCAAAGTAAAAACATTGCTCACAATAATTATCAACTACAGTTCGCACTTCGAAAATATCCGAAAGAAAGGGAACAAATTCGCAGAACTTTTGAAAAACAAAACAACACTCAATAGACAAATGAATGAAGGAACGTTGAATGAAATGAACGTACCTGTTGATTATGAGGGAACGAATGACTGCAAGAGAGTATCGACTGAATGCCTATTAGTAATTGTCGTTGTCTGAATACTTGAATTTGATGTTTCACATGCAATGGAGTGGTTGTACCTTCAGCTGCTTTCGAACAAAGCGTAAATATCACTTCTGGTAACCACTCCAACGATTTTGGTGCAACATACCGACAATTACCTAGAAATTTAGGAGAATTAGTACATAAACTGACGCAGACACAATACTTAGCACATTTCAACTCTTTTGCATGCATTTAACAATTGTGCGCTTTTTTAGACACAGAAAAATGCATTTTCATAGCAATTCGGAAAGACAATTCTTCGTGAATTGATTAAAAGAAAAACAAACCGATATAATCAAGAATCAGTTCAACGACTGTATTCGGTTTAGCTTTCGCCGTATCAATCCTAACCAGCAAAGATGCAACACGACGATAAATACCAGTCTGAAGCGGACGACCCAAGAAGAGTGCAACAAGGCAACGTGGTAGGTCGCATGCGTACTGCCATATTGCTGGCTCATCCATTGTACATAACCTATCAAGAATCGCTAACCACTGACGACTGAAAAAAAGGAATGATTAAATAGGAAATATAACGACAACTGCGTCCATATCCAAAAGATACTGTAAAATGCAACTCAAGCGAACAAACAAATGTCATTCCGATGGTTGCTAGATGCCACAGAAACGAAATAAACGCAAATTCAATGTTTCCTGTTTCCGAATTAAAACAGAATTGGTAGTTGAATAATTATGCAAAAGAAGGATTTGAACCATGGAAAGGTCAAGAACGTGATAGCCAGATACCAATCCTGGTATATCCTTAGGTGGAATAGCGATATGAAAAGAGAACATGAAATGAAAACGTGTCTTGCTTGAAAGGATTTATTTGCCACTGACCTCTCGTCAATTGCAAATTGGCACTTTGAAATTAGGAACGCCGATGCATCTTAGAAAATAAAAAAACAGATTGCGTAATCCACCATGAAATTGAAATGAGCACTTACAAATCACTGCTGACTGACAACGGTACTGCTAACGCCTGCTGCGAATTCGTACCAAGCAGAAGTATTTGCGAAAGTCCAAGATTCGTTGAATCTGGTGCACGTCGAAGGTAGATACGAACCTTAATTAAAAAATTAATTAATTAGCACAGCATTTGATCATTGATCAGATGACGATAACTCAGAAGATCAAAACATTCTGAAAAATCAGTTGCCTTTTGTGAAACTGGCAGAGGTGCGTAGTGCGTGCATAATCATTGGTGCTGTTTGAATTGAAGTGAAACAAGTCAATTGCTGACGACACCAATGGATTAAAAAATTATGGATAAATAATAGGCAATTTTGGTTTGGTGAATGAATAACAAAAAACAAACGGCATTAATTGGGTATGGATAATGCTGAGCCGGGATACGAATTTTACTGAATCCAAGCGTGGATACGTTCGGCGCTAATAAAGTCCATGTTGACAATGTTGCATCTGAGCAAACTTCTAACTGCACGGCTGACGGCCCAGCTGAAATTAAGTAACAACAACAATTACAATAATAACAACATTATTAATTAAAGCCATAATAACGAAACGCACTATTAAGTGTGGGCGGATGAGGTCGTATGTCGACTTCATGAAGCATGATTTGATAAGGAAGTGCTAATGTAAGATCGAGCCATTCTTCGTTCGAATAGAAATGATAACTCCAATTTGCAGTTCGAGCACGTCGATGCGGTGGTGCGGCAGCGAGTAGTGTGGTCAGTTGATGAGCCATTGATGAAGACGACGTTATTGAACCTTACAAATTATTCTTCATGCACTGCTCTATGCTTGTGTACTTTAAGTGACTTACTTGACTATAACAACACGCAAAACAAATGTCTCTTTTTTCTACAATTCTTGTTCTCTTACAAACTGAACTCTAAAATAAAATAGGTGAATGAAAAACCTTCTTGTCTAAAGAACAATAATTTTTGGATCACAGCTTACAACAAAAACACAGCATCAATCAGTTATAAGTGTTCGTTTCAACAGTTGACATAAAAACTGATGAATTATTTCACGAAAACAATTTTTTCGATAAATTAAGAATCAAACGCAGACCAGAGATGATGGTAAAACTAACAAATTGGCGCATAGTTGAAGAGTCCTTCAACCTTAACACCAGGTGGCCGTCTTGGTGCAATCGGAAATTCACCAGCGAACGAAATCTGCGTAGCCATTGAAGCCAACTGACGTACTAAAGTACTGCTTTCGGGTGCAGTCCAATCACCCATCGATGTCATAATGCAATTCTTAATTTCATTCGATACCACCAAATGTCCACCTGAACAATTACTTACCACTAAATAAATTCAGAATCGATCTATTTTTTCGAACGTATCAAGTATCAAATGCCCTTAATTTCACTGAAAAGTACTAATGAAATGCCAACAACAGCAGTGAATGCAGCCCTGCTGATTTCATCAAAAGCAGTACATACTATCAGTATTATTTACCTCCAAATTTTAGTAAACATATTTCCAAAGATAGGTGGCGTACAAACAACTAAAAGTTATGCCCTCAAATACAATCAATTCCAGCAATTCAACAAAGCAAGATTTTTGAAACAAATTTACATGCTCAAAAATGGAATCGCATATCACTTATGCATTAAGTATGAAACGGGAAACAACAACCAACAATTAACTTCAGTCAATAACCCAAAAAACAAGTAGCATAAAGCGATTTACCAAACTGAACGAAGATGTGCTGATTTTGTGGAATCAACAGCATATAAACGACGGAAAACGCGACCGGTTTTGAGAGTTTCGGTGATGCAGGCGGAGCATAATTGTTCACACAACGCTTAAGACATTCAACTGTTAAACCGATCATATGCTCAAGTCGATCACCGGCTGAATCCGAGAAAAGCAAAAACAATCGTAGCGCATAATCAGCTACCGATATTGGCTTCCAACTGAAACAATTCAAACAAAAATTTTGTGTTGATAAGTGACAATAATAATCATCAGCAAGACGCTGACTATTAGCAGTGTGAAATTTAAAGGAAAAACCAATCCAATCTGGTGATTGCGGTGATATCAGAATTTCAAAAACGACCACTCAGTGCAGTCAATCATATCGACTACTGACTAAATCAAAAATCAATTGAAGAAAGTCACCGACCAATTTAAAAATCGACGTTCCTCGAAAAGTGAGTCGTAATCACGATCACAAAACGAACAACTTGAGAGCACCTCAAGAAGGTCATCAACTGCGGCCGGATAATTTCTAATTATGTCACTAACCAACAATTTATTGCTTGCACAATAACCCAACACCTGATAAGCATTTTCAATAATCAATTATTCACTCTTTAATTCATTTGCACATCCGAAAAAATGGAAAACTTTCATACAGTCGCTATTTCTAAAGGCAATAAGGGGCTTCTGCTCACGGCTCAATCATAATTTCAGATCTTTCTCGGTGAAAACAAAATTCTTCAATTGATGAAATCAAGCCGAATCTCATCGATTGAGAGATGGAAGAGTAATCGATACACTTTAAGAGAATACAACGATTTCGTAGTAAAATTAAAAAAAAACAATGAAAAATTTTCCTGGAATTTGTAATAATACACACCCATTCGTGTGACTAATCTAACAAGAATTCGTAATAATAGTTCCATAAATTCATAAGATCTTTCTGACGGAACAATAAAATCCTATGAATACCTCTTGCAACAATGTGCCCACCATTTCTTCATAGTAACGCAACTGAGATGTAGATTCGCATATATTGATACGTTCCAGTGGTAACTGTGACTGCAAATTGAAGCATTATTCAAATATCGATCAAAATTCCAAGAACAAATAGAACAAGAAACTGCTAGAAATTTATCACTTTCGATATCATTTAACTATCGTTCTGTACGAAATCATTCGTTGCAAACAGATAATTTTCACAGAGAAATGGAACGTCAGCACGTACCACGCTCCAGTACGGCTTGAAGAGATCCTCGCTATCGTTGGCTGTGTCTGTTGCCTCAGTGACATTACCATCAGAATCCTTCTCACAGACAGCCGTATCAGAAACCGTCATTTTGACCAGCTTGAAAACAGAAGCATACATTCACAAAGCGGCGATAATCTTAGTAATTTTTAACGAACGAACCATTTAAATGAAGCGAGAAAATAATTAAAACAAGAACCTGAAAGCATAGATCAGCACGATATCCACCATCCACAAGTGTAACGTGCTCATTTCGAACAAATTTATCCGAATTTAATAAATCTCTTGTTACACTTATTACTGCCCATACAAACCTCGATAGATTCTTGCCTGAACAGCCAAGCTTTATGTTGTACGGAATTTAAAAAATAACTCCCTCATCCACCTTTGTGAATATTTCTATTGCACAAATGAATGAAAGCGTTGTCAAAGAGTAGAAAATGATCCATAAAAAATTCAAAGTGAAACAAGAAAATACGATTAAAAGTGAAAATATGATAACAAAATATTCGGATAATAAGTAACTCACTTGGTAATTGAGCGTAAACTTGTGGGAATCGTCGCATTTTCATCACAATTTGCATAATCATTTCAACTGGATACGGCAAAAATTCAAAACCTCCTCTGAAAAACAAATGAACGATAACTGAAACGAATCGTAGAGGACTCCAGAAAAAATGCTTACAATAACTGAAGAAAATATGTGAGACAAATATTAACGTTTCATACATAACAAGAGGAGAGGTGATGAAACAACGAAAGATGAGTTCAAAATCAAAATTACTCTTTCAAGAAAATATCTGAAATGATTGCAATCATTTGCAGTGCGAATGTTTCTTTCACAGATGTGCAATGCAGCTGAACAATCAAGTCACCAAATGAACACGTCAGTGCCGGTCCAATCTACAAATAAAAATTATCATTCAATTTACAATTAATTGAAACCAGCAACACATCATTCGTTACATTCCCAACGTATTTCAAATTTTACGACGAACACTCGCATGATGAATGAAGTAACGGTATTTACGGACACAAAAATAACTGTTAGTTTATTAGCCGAATGCAACCATCCGGACACTTTCGAGTGTGAAAAGAAGCAAGTGAATAATAAAATAAATACCGTAGTTGATTCACTGAATCTACTGACACTTTTCGTAATGCAACGTCTCAAGACTTCATCAAATAATGGTGTAGTAATAAGATGTTTCCCACACGCATCCTTCAAGCATGCAAGAATATTAATCTCTTTCTGATTACATTATCAATTCGACTACATAATGGTAGATATGATTGATAAAATCAGTTCATTTCACATATTCTTCTCCTCAGCATTTTTGCACGCAACTAACTGTTGCAAGAAATTTTTGAGAATTGTTGAAATAAAGGCGAAAACGATGAACATATCTTCCATAGATAATCAATGTGATAACTGAATTTTAAAAAATTACATCGGCATTAGCTACTTCACAGAGGAATCGCATCAGAAGTGTCCAAAATGATTCGGTGAGACGTTCACATGATGCAGCGAATGCAAGAACCGCATCAACGCCTTCATTCGGAAACACAATATGCATATCGACCATCATACGTTTCACCACATCGGGGACTGAATTTGGTTTATTTTTGCTGAGTGTTTGAATTAAGTTGAGAAGCAAATTAATAAATATGATTAAAGGTGCATTGCAAAATGATACCTTCGTGAAAATCGTTGAAGAAGCTGAGGAGTGAAACAACATAATCAACGCTAGAGTCAAGTGGGATCTGCTGAATGAGATTCGAGATTGCAGCGATTGTCAGTGGAAGAGTTCGACCCATTTGTGCACGCATTGCTTCACTTTCAGGTGCACGTGGACGTGAGACGGTTCGTTTACGCCACGGTGCCAGATGACGTCGTGAATGCCTGTCGAAAGTATTCATTAATGAATAACAAATACATTTTTGGTGATGAGCTTCAGCGGATTGATATCGCATATTGTTTGGGTACTCAAACCAAAAACACCGTTAAAAAGTGTCATCAGCATTGCAGAGTACTTTCTAGAAAGTGCAGACATTGGATATCTATCCCAAAACGAACATGAATGTGCTAGATGATGAAATAAGGCATCACATAGTGCAACAACGACTATTACACAACCACTGTAAACGCTTGCAGTTGGGTTTCAGCAATTTATTCATTACTTGCTCGTCAACATCAACATTCTTTCATTCATTCTTTTGCTTTCGATTTCATTTCGGATGGAAACTATTCCACTTCATAACATTCACCAGCAAACGTGCGCTTACCTTAGAAGAATGTCAGCAAGTGAATCCACCGAAAGACATCGGATGTAGGCGCGTAATCCCAGTTGACATTCAGCACGTTCATCATGGTACGTTGAGCAAGGCTGCACCATCACGTCCTCACTTATCGAACGTGCTTGCATCTTAACGATTCATCAAATAAAGATGATCACAATGACCTTTTTTACTTATGAACAGAGAATCGCGTACACATCAACTGTTTCTTTAGCGATGTTAACCGATTACAGTTCCAGTGATGCAATTCAATAAAATTTGATCAGGATGCGACCGAACAATTTCGAAATTTAGTCATAATATCGACTTTCAAGAAATAGATTCGATCGGATTCCGACTGAACCGAAATTTTGATTATTAACAGTACTTACGTCAATCTGATCAATCTCGATTGAACACTACTTGTCTACATCAAATTTCTGCTACGCATTTAATGCAGTGTAATGTGTATATTACAAAACTCTCACTGATCAATCGCACAATAATTTGCTCTTTGAAACGCGAAAATTTGCAGTAATTTTCCAAAAGAAAAGTTTCAAGAGGTAAACACCACGAATTTGATCCACTTGCAATCATGAGATGATAACGAGAATGCGATTCATCATAAAAGTTGAATTATTGTTTATGGAAAAACCATTCGAAGAGTTCATTACGTGTTATTTGAATAGAAACGCACCAAAAAACTGATCATGATATAGTCGAGAAGCATTTGTTTGTTGTTTTTTTCGGTTGGTAACGACATCAGTAAATCTCTTCGTTCGTTATTATCGCCAGTACACAATTCCGGTTTCGATTTCTTATCAAACGATGGTGATGAAACTTCCTGAACCTTAATTTTCGAATTACATATCTGTCAATAACCATATTCGCCAAACATCAAAAATCAAAATGCATTATTGTTGCAAAGTAAACATAGGACAAGCATGATAGCTACCTGAACTGGAGGATGATCATCAGCATCTAAGCGATCGCTTTGATTGTCGCACGAGACGAGCACAGCTGTAACGTAGCATAAGAATTACTTCCAAAAATTTTCTATGAACGATCAACCATAAACAATACCTAAATCACAAGACAGCTTTTCATTTTAATGTTCTTCAAAGCACACTTGCTGAACTTAAACGCCAATTGAAATAACGAACCCAAAACAAGCAACTAAACAACTCAGTCATAAAAAACGAGTGAGTGAAATACAAAAAACGAAATCACGTCTTCTACCTTTCGTAATATTGCCAGACATGTTATCGGCAAACGTATCAAGCGCTTTGATTGCTTGCAGATTACTCGAATCGATCATCTCAGTTGGCTGTGTTGACTCAACGACACCCAACTCGTCGACCAAAGTCTCTTGTTCTTCATGAATTGTCGGTGAAGTGGATGCGGACGGTGAGCTTGAATCTGCACTCGGTACTACTGTTGATTCAGCAACTGCTTCACTTGTAGCTGTTTCTTGTTGTTGTGGATCGTCTTTAATTCGATATATTAATTAATCACAATTATACGTCTTAACCAAGTTCAGCGACACATTTCTGCACAAACCTATTCACTCCACTCAGATTGATGGCAACATATTCTTGAAAGCTTGTTAAGACACATGCTCTTCTATCATACAACTATTACAGTGATAACACAACATCAATGATGCATTCTGTTCAGTGATTTATTTTCACATTTTTGCTCACAGTCAGTCTGAAGAATAATTTACTTCTCCATGATTTTCAAGAACGAATAAAGAACTTCCCGAATTCTAAAATTCGTAAGTTAGATGTCGATGAGACGTTTTGAATAAGAGTTCAAATTACCGTCGGTTTTTGCAGGATCGGCGTAAAGGAACTGTTCGTTACGCAAACATGCAGTAAGGGCCGAGATTGACGTCTTGTATTTATCCTCAGTAACTGGGAATGCATCTCGGGGCAGTGAAGGTGAGCATAACTTAACCGCATATGCGACCACCTGAAGTAAACGTATCCTTATGAATAAAATTGTTGCAACAAATGCCAGTAATAAATTGACTGAATTTAATTCGTTTATATTCATGCTCATCACTATAATACCAACAATAACAACGATAATGATAACAACTCAAAATTAACAACTAACATTATCTGCAGCTGCAGCAACACGCGCCTCACCGTATCGAACGCCATCAATCCAACGGAATATGTTTGAGAATGGCTCACCCTTTCCAATTCTACTTTTTATCACTTCTCGGCATCTAAAATAAACTTTTTGCTCTTTGAGAGCAGCACAAAATATTCTGAATAAATGCGAATGAATAGCAGCACTGATCGCTTCTTAAAATTTTGTTGCGGAGATACGAATAATTTCTCACTGACGCACTGATACACATACTTCAAAGGCGCACAACTGAAACATGCCTGTGTCATACAAATGTTCGGAAACATATTTCTTATCGTATTCACATAAATTAACGAACAGATAAAGAAGTATCATCGATCGAATAGGCTTGTTGACGGCACACGACGACAGTTCTGCGGGTTCAACAAGTGACAGTGCTTGGTCGATTAATGATTCCAATTCGCTATCTTTTGATGGTAGGGTATCGTAGCTGTAAATCATTGCAATAATGCGCTAAGGAAAGCTTTGCCTAAATTTTGTTTGCATCGTGAAAAATCAAACAAGAAACATTGCATCGAGAAGCTAAACGAAATGGCTGTTGGCATTATCATAATTTTTGATAAACGAGAAAGCAAACAAATACATAAGACATAAGAAATAGACCAACTTTGCAATACTGAAACCGTACGATGTCTTCATGAATGCAAATGCAAACGGTAACGCACTCGCAGCTGCAGTTGCACCGGTTGATTTGCGTTCATCAACATTCTTCAATATTGTACTTCTTTGCAACGCTGCAATATATAGTAAGCTTATTATTGCTCTGCTCAACATATAACGTCAACCATCGTTGAAGAAACAAAAAATGTTCCGTAAAATTCAGTCCAAAAAATAAAAATTCAATCGAATAGACAAAGAATCGAACCGAATCACTAGCAGCATGTTCATTGATTAATTATTTCCAACTCTCAATTCACCTCATGTGCAACGAATTTTCAAATACATAGTTGAGGGATGAACAAGAGTTTGACAAAAAGGGAACAAAAAAAAAACTGAAGTGAGAAAAAACTGAAGTGAAAACAAGCAAAAAAAAAACGAACCTCGATCAGCAAGTTTGGCGTATTCGATTCCAGTGAGTTTTTGACAAAATTGCTCAACCGATGAAGCGGTGATGCCTTCGAAAATACTCGACGATACGGATGCGTTCGCCTCTGAACGACTACTGCCAGCAATAATCTTCGCATAACTTCTTGCTTCTGCTTCTATCACATCTTGCAGTAACGTTAGTATTGCACTACGCATTACGACTGCATTGCGACTGTTTAATCCTGAATGTTTTAACAACATTGAGTCTACTTCATGCACACCGTACCAGCAATCAATCAATTTTCAAACAACAGCTCAAAAAGCTGAAAACGTAAAGCGTCAAAAGTGAACATCTGAAGACGGATTAGTTTCATATATCGTGAAAGTGAATGCAAATGAGTATTCCTGTGATATAAATATATCGAGTATAATTCAAAGATTAACTGTTATACTGAGTTACTATTATTATCACGATAGATTATCAAAAGCAAACCAAAACAATACACAAAAACTGATTGCAAAGAACCAACCAATTTGAATGAGCTGTTCAAGAAACGATCCAACAACAGCGGCCAACGGAATAGTGTGGTGAGATGCATTTGTGCAGATGCGAGATATCACCTTCAATTACTGCCGATTACGAGTTGAATATGGAATCACTTATATCATCTATCACAAATGCAGATCGAATAAAGCAGAAGCCAGACAAATTGTACATATACTAACTGCTAGCCAAGAACACTCACAAGTACTTTTTTTGACACATGGATAAAGGAAAATTGACATAACGAACTGGTAAACATTTAGAAAATGACCTTGCAAATAAGCAATTTACAGCTGGAGGGTATCTCGTCGGTGTGCTCACAAAGGGTACGTATTAATCCAGACGCCACCGATTCACAAACATCCAATGGCAACTTCAGCCGAACATTACACTGTCGCTGACGACTGGAGCGTGGTTTAAGCGGTGACAGCAAATTGCTTTTGCCAGCCCACTTCACCAGTTCTAAACTCAATTCGACTTCATTTTCTTAGATCACTCAAATTATGATCACTTTTATGCATCTTCATTTGATTATTCATTGAACGAAAATGATTATGCGAAAAGAAATCAAACTTTTATTTCTAAAAAATTCTCCTTATAACATTTGTCAGACTTCAACAATGAGAAGGCAAATGAAAAGAATGACACAAAATCTAATCACCTTCGATTTTTTCACCAGTCACTTCGGGTGTCTGATTGCTGTGAATTTCTTCCAGCTTCTGCAAGATAAAAATGATTACGAGGATCAATATCAGATTACCGGATACGATTTCAGGCTTTAATAAACAATTCAAAAAACATTTTAAGCTGGTACATCGTTCCATTTTAAGCTGCCCAAGCAATAGAGACATGAATCCGTAACGCATCGATTTCTGGCCGGATATTCTGCTTGAAGTCGAATGGTACAAGAATTTCATTATTTCTGTCGAGCCTGAGCTAGGCTACGACTTGACATACTTGCATATATCTAAGTGTCATTCATGCTTTTAAAAAGCAAAAGTTAAATAGCAATATCAACATTAACAAATGTTCCATAATATACCGCAACTGTCAACGATCGCTTGGAAATGCAAACCACAAGATGAATGTATTTTGACTGAAAAGCGAAGTGATGCAACAGTACAACACCTTTTCAAAACGTTCCTGCACTTGTTGCATTGTCAATTCAGAAACACGACACCCTTTCGACCTTGCTGACGATTTCTCAGATGTAACTGGTTGTTGAGCTTCTTCGAACTGAAAAATTGAGTTGAACAAAAATGATTATGAAAAATAATGTGACGCCAATTTATGCAGGCGAATTGTGCAATCAGAGCAATCAACTGAATTATACTGTCAAATAATGTCAAACAATCATTGCGTTTGTTCAAGTTAAAACACCAATTGAAGTGAACAACGACTAAGAAGCTCACATTCATAGCTTTTGAACATTCCGCAGCCATTTTGGTAGCCACTTCTATGGTACTTTTGTCGAACATCTTTGAATCAATCTTCTTCTGTATCATATCATCCATTGATTTTACCGTTTTTGACATCACTTTTATACTGGCTTTCATCGCTTCCATTGCTTGTAAATGCTGCAGATGTTGACCCCATAAAGACTGAACTTTCGAATGCTAAAAAACATTTTTTGAAAAAAATTTTGCTGGCTCATAAGTGGTCCGATTGAATAACAAAAACGCGTAACTGTCATACTGAAAAAAAAAACACATTCCGCGCATGAATCTTATTCCAAAACGCATGTGTTTCAAAATAAACCACCTAATCCAGTAGTTCTCAACCATTTTCCCCTTCGCACCTCCTAAAAAATTTTACGATCTCCTCGTCCCCCTACAACAGTTAAAATGTCCTCGCCCCCCTTCACAACATCCACTGTCCATCTCTCATCCACTACAGTGAGTGTCTGCAGCGTAGGTAAGTGTATACCATTAGAGTAAGTTCTAGCCTTTTCAAAAATATATACGCTGAACTCCCTCGTTGCCTACTTAACCGCATAAAAATAAAACCTCATATCGCACCCCCTCCCGCACCGCTCACTCACCCACTCTCACACTCCCTCGCACCCCCGGTTGAGAAACTCTGATCCAATCAATCAATAACCGTAAAAATCGATTATTGGCATAACAATGTCATAATTGCGAATTGATTGGAACAATAAAAAGAAAAAAATAAGAAACGACGACAAAAAGACCTGGAATGCGCTAACAATAAAGCAACAAGCAACGAACCAATTCAGCAGCAGTTGTTGCAGATGGCTGAGTGTTTGTTGTGGCTGCTGATGGCACGTCTTGGACATCGTTCGACGGCTGCATTGTGGCCGTTGCAGTTGTATTGGCACTCATCGATAATGTATTTTGCTTTAACGACTTCGAACTATTACTGTTATAATCGTTCACCGACTGCTGTTGTCGTTCAGATGGCAACGACGCACTTGATGACGAGCCCATTAGCGAAGACGTCCCTGCGGCCGCACCGTAAGCGAACTCACCCGAAGCAAACGCCCATCGATCCAATTTTCGTTTACCTATAAATATTATTGTTGATAATGTGAACAGATTATTGTTATTATTATCAATCCGATATCTAGGCAACTGAGAAAGTCGCAACATCTATATTATTCCATGGAAATCTTCTCAAAAAATTGTAAAAGTTCAGTCAGATAACGATTCTAAGATTTGAGAGGCGAAACATTCGCATTCTAACGCGACATTATGCAGGCAATAGATCGGCCAAGAAATGATATTCAAAAGTTCTCTGAGGAACTGCGAATAACAACTAACTGAAGGTGGTAATTAATGCGGACTCAATCTGGAACAACAAACGATGTCGATGAGCTTTTCCAATCCTATTAATACTTTTTGATTCTGTTGTTTTAATCACAATGGAAACGGGCGAATTGACTTACCACATACAATTACATCGAAAGCGGTTGAAGTGAGCAAAACAGCTGAACAAAGTAAACTCGCTTCGAATTTCTTTGTTACCACTTCATCAGTGCAGCATTCATCTGAGTCATTATCTCCATCCGCAGTTCCTTTTACTGACGATTCTTTCAAAATTTCATCAATGAATTGCAATAATTCCAACATTACAGGAGCCTGAAACATCACATAAGGATCTTAAATGTCGACAATGAATCTTGAATGATTCTGCACCGGATTATCAAGTATAAAATCAAAAACAATAAACCTTCTCAAACAGTTTGTTATCTAATGGAAAATCAATCTGAAACAACTAAAAAATGCATGAAACAACACAGGCTAGGTAAATGATAGTAATTTGTTCATTGCTACCACAATAACAATAATTTTATGGCTGCATAAAATGATGTGTGTGATTTGCGAAATTTACCAACTCCTTCTCATCCTTCATTAAATATCAACATTAAAACAGTAGTGCAATGAAGAAATTGAACTTCACTGATTTTCTAAATAAGTGATCCTCTGAAACGGTCACACTGTTATGCGATGGGTAGTACGAGAATCAGTACATCATTATTCGTAGTGAAAAGGAGATTTATGAAAAATGATATTAAAGAATACCTGAGAGGATGTTGACTTTACCGTATGACTGCACAGGAATGACAGCAGCATGAATACTCTGAAAAGAAACGTTTAAGAATCATAATTAACGATAAAATCAATAAACTAATTTCCCAAAAGTCATCCGCAAATCTGATAAACGGACGGCATCAAGTGCAACTTAATTTCGAGAGAAACTTAAGAAAATCAAAAGCACAAAATATCAACGAACTGACTTTTCGTCACCGGTTTTCATTGGTGAAGAGAATAATTGCGTAAGAAGTCTTGTGAAAAATTTCGGCCACCATGACATTTCGGCGCCATGATGGAACAACCAAACAGCACAATCAACCTGGAATATGAATTTGTCACAATACCCGTCTCATTCTTTTTCACAATTCAATTCGATAAATTCACTCTAGTTCAGGCTCGTAAATGATACTATTCGTTAGAAACAATTTAAAAATTGATCAGACTTTAAGTGTAAAAGTGAAGGAATCTTTCAACTGAAAGCGTACAATAAAAGGTTTGCGGTTTTCATAATGCAAACACGACATCACCAAGAATATGGACATTCTACAGCAATAACAGAGAAATAATGAAGAAAAATTATCTCGAAAAGTTCGCTTCGTGATTATTGATTCGTAAAAGAGATCAAATCTTTAAAAACAGTATTGAAAATGCACATATTTACATAAATGTACACCTGTAATTTAGGTACAGCAGTTGTACAAAATAAGTTGAAGTGTCGAACAGCCATATCAAGTGTAAGCAAGTTATGCGCATTCACTTCGCCGACGGTTGGTGATACATCCGTCAACTCCATCCACTTAATTTTCAAAAGATAGATTCAGAAAATATCCGAAAAATATAAAATCCTCCCTCAAAAAAAAAATCTTCCTTTGCAGCTCCAGCAGTAAAAATCATGCGTACCAGTCAATGTGACGGAATTATTCCGTGGATAATACTATTCGAAAGCACTCAACATTTAATTATATGAATCAAGTTTTTGAATGAACAGTTTCTGGATGAAATGGAAAGAAGAGTATCAATTCCAAAAGACAATAATTGTACTAGTTGAATAATTGTTACCGATGGCGCCAAATCACCGTCGACGGCCATCATCGTACAATAGGCGGCAGCTGAACGCAAATCGAGCAGATGCACGGACTGGGTGAGCAATGCGAATAACTGCTCAGAAACAACACGTAACTGATCCGCTCCGCATTTCCACCAACCACCTTCACTGAGACTGTTCTCTAAACCTTTTCAAATGTCTCAATTTCACGATAACAACTCTTTTATTTTCTCGAATGCATTACTCAAAAAAAAACAGCTCCGAATCGCCCAATAATAAAATGGATACAGATATGTTGTTCAATATCAAAAAAACGACGACTCCAAATAACAAAAGTAAACTTTGATGAATACATTCTAAAGAACTGATCCGAAGATATTCACATCAATTCACTTTCAATTCGCACAAATGCAATGTGTCAAAAACCAATCACAAGAAAACTTCAGTGAAACAAAACAATTATCGACTGAACGACGTATAGATGAAGTAACCTCTAACGAATGCTTGATCGAACTGTAAACGCTCCACAACACCACGAACCATGTTCCACTGCGTACGTAATTGTGTGCATTCTTTATAAATCTTCTTCACATCTCTTTCGTCTGCTGAATCTTCTTCCACCAAACTTACCAACTCATTGCACGCCAACTGATGTCTACATCTCAGATCTTCACAGAGTTGTCGTAAATGTTCGATGCTAATCGAGGGCTGCAAATAAACATTGTTATTCTTCTTATCGTCTGCAAATCCCACCGATAAGTCGCTCTGCTCGTTTACAGTTCAAGATTTCAGTTTATCGGCTCTGTAATGTTGAAAATATCAGAAGCGATTTAGTGTGGTACAATCAAGAATTATAAATTCATAAAATCGACATAAGCAAACGNACATGTTGCTGATATATATGTGGGAATGCAGGGTATGTTGCGAGCTGACCGACCATTTGTTCACACGCATACGGTTGCCATCCGGAGAAGAATCGATGCCCAAAGAACGATCCTAACGGTATACGACATGGCCCATTGAACAACTGCCTACCCACATATGTCAACTACAAGGTTTCTTTAATCAATTCTTCATTATGATAATGAACAGTAAAGATCAGTTAGCAACTAATTCATTGGTAATAAGACAATTGTGAATCCTTAAAAACAATGACAACCACTAACTGAAATTAGCATCAAGAGAACTGATTTGGAGCATCCAGCAAGAATAATGAAGCAAAGTTCACAATGGAAGAGTATTAGTGCCTATCTTATAAGAGTATAATACTAAAAATAAAAAACCTTAACAAATCGTATCAACATTGTGCAAGCAATATCTTGAAGGACAATCGACTTATTCGAGATTTGACATGATGAAACAATACGTTGTCCGTCTACATCTTCACCTAATAACCACACATCCACAGAGAGAGAACACAGCTCTGCACACGACGGAATTAGTATATCAGTTAGCAGTACCGGAACACCAAAATCGAGTACCACAAACTTACGGGCACCTGAATAACAAGATACGATTTATGATGACAGAAAATACTAGAATTAAACGACTGCTTGCTACATGATTAAATCAAGCAATAAGTGGTTGATTAGTTGCATCGAATACTTCATTAGCACTGTTATGCTATAATATCATAATACTTACCAACTGTCATTCTCTCGATTGAAAGCACTTGGACGGGTGGTGGTTTTAGTATATCACACGGTACGATCGTTATGGCCGGTTTGAAGAGAGGGTTATTCGCATTGCGCGACGATTCAGATATTAATCTTTCTTCGTCGAGTTCTTCACCTCTTTGTTCATCTCTCTAAAATCACAATTTTAAAATTTCATTTACATATAAAATGAACGGAACAAGAGAGAAGAAATGCTGTACATACGCGATCCTCTTCAGGTAGAATCGTTAGATTCGTTTCAGAATTGATCGGTGAAAGGTGAGATGGCGATAATGGAGTTGGTGTCATGAACGGTGTCGTCTTGGGTGTAGTTGGTACACCAAAAGTACTCGCTGATGAGCCTTGTGTAGTAGAACCCTGCGCCGTATCCGTGTTTGTTGTTTGCATACCTATTACCACAAAACAATCAGTCTTCATCAATCATATACCGGTAACACAATAATACTAGCTAAATCTAATTCAGATTTTGGTAGATGGTCATCAAAAAAAATCTTTTTTGAAAATGTAATATTGATTCTGAGTCAGAAAAGTAAAAAAAAACTTTCTGACTCAGAATCAATATTGCATTTTCAAAAATCACGTTCAGCATACCCGTTTCAGCCGAAGTATTTACATCCTTACAGCACTGATTGTTTACTTCCATTGCGATTTTCTTCATTCTTGCACTCAAACTTTGAAGATTCACCTTTAAAATTTTGACAAATCAGTATTTAACTCGTAACTTGAATCAAATTTTCAAAAATGTTTAGTGCAATAGTTTAAACGTGGCACGAAATGCTCAAAAACACAGAAAATTATGACACAAATGAAAAAGAAAAATACATAAACACTAATGAAGATATTTTTTCTGCTTCTATGCATTGAGCATGCTAATCCGCTTCTGCACTTGTAACGGCTTACAAAAAAGACGTTAAAATTCAATATGCAACTAGAAATCGTTCTATTGCACAGCCACAATAGACATGCGTATCAAGTACAAACCATGGGTGTAGTTGGTGGAATTGGTTGGTGAGGGGTGATGCTGTTCGACGTTTTCATAATTAACGGTCCTTTTGAGGCCAACTGAAACGTTGTTGCGTTTGAGCAATTCACCGTCACTATTGTACCTTAATGATCAAATTATTTCTCTTCATAAAATGTCGCTTCATATGACGGTAGACGATAAAATCGAAAATCGAACTCATTCTTGATACGATAATTACGCATAAGATTGAATAAGTGTCTCTACTTTACGATATTGATAGATGTAATACAAAAAATGTCTTGTATTATATTCTTTCAAACAACCAAACATAAAAATATGCCCAAATACTTTTTATACATCCACAATACACGCATGATGTAGCGTTAAATGATGCTAAATGTTTACTGAATCATGTAACTATCGCTAATTCACAAACCTGTATCGACATTCTCAACTTTGACATGTTCCGAAGCAGCACAACAGTTAAACGATAGCGGTTCCACTTCAAGTAAACCACTCAATTGCGAGGCCGACAGGAAAGTACGGCGTTTCATATCACGACCCATATTCGAGTCGTTAGCGTTTGAACCGAAACGAGAATTGAACGCAAAACTAGTCCCTGGCGGCGGAACGATCGAAATTGGTGGCACGCCTAAAATTCGGTGATAGCAATCCAAGGGATCCGTGATGCTTTCATTGACGAATTCAAAAAAAATCCATTCAGCAGAAGCTGGTTTAAATTCATGAACATGTGTAGAATTCCAACACAAATCTGAATGGTCGATTAACTACTACTAAGTATCGCATTAAAACTCTCATAAAGAATCATCTCTGCCAATCACCCATGCAGAAATAAAAAGAAATTCAAATTCAGGGCAATTGTTCTAATCTCATACGTCAATAAAAATGAGTAACGAAAGCTTCACATCTAACCATCATTGGAGGTTGTTGAACTAGAACTAAACGGATGATTTGTGTCACCAAGCACCATATTAAAAACGTCTAGCCAGTCTATTTCGTCCTGAATATTTCACCGAATTGAACGCATCAAGTTGTGATCATAAACAACAACAAAACATTGCTCACTTGCAGCCAGTCATAGAGCAAAATAACTGATCAAATGATGTGTACAACAGCCGAAACAACGTACTGAATGAAGGTTACCTCCAACACAAATAGAAAAAAATAGCATCAAGTGAATGTCAACATTGAGCACGATCATGAACTGAGAAAAATCTTTAAATTCGAGTGTTCTGCTAATTATGGAGATCAGATTAGATGCTTTGTAGATCGAAGGAATCCAATATAATGCGTTTAAAACAGAAGAAATGATTACCTGCGCAGTGGCAGTGTTCATGAAAGCGCTGACCGTGACCACGTCTTTGCTGGGTACCGATGAAGAGATTGAAGCTTTACTGTGAATTGAAGCAGCCGGATTGGAATTGTGATGTTTCTGCGCGAAATTTGTCGTCGGAAGAACTGGTGAAGACCATGGATATTTGACGTTGGATGCATTTGCTGCAGCCACACCATTCAATGCAACTGGCATTGGCATCACTGCTACTGATGTACCACCAGCCATTGAACCATCTACAATCCATTCATTTACTTCTCCTCTCTCATCCATTACTAATTCACTAGTTTATCGATATGCATCAAACAAATAAAACATACAATTTGTAGGCACTGATGAACGTGTCCATAACGATAACATTGGAGCAGGCCATTCGTACATAACCTGTAAAGTACACTCTTCAGTTATAGTTTCTGCATGCAAGAATCATCTTACAAATTGAAACTTTCATTAATTATTTCCACGATAATTAAGCCAAACGCACATGTCACAACCGACTCAGTAAAATACTGCACCAGTTAAATTCCACTCCCAGAATTGAACTCGCGCATCAATTTACCATTCACAGATGATGGTGTTAAAATTAAATACTGTCTTGTGATTAAAAAAAAAACAACTGAAAAGTAAAAAATGATTATCACAACAAACCAATTCAAGCGGAAGCCCACAAAGACCATAATTGTTTGCCAATTTTTCATGAACGCTTCCATTCCAGGTATTTTTCCATGCTTCACCAATCGCCGTCAACGTACTTGCACACATCATCAATAAACTATCGACCATTTGTGAACATTTCGGATGACCGGCCAATGAAGTGCACATCTAAGAATATTATCCTTTTTGATAACGTTTTATAGATGAACAAATATCGTTCTTGTGCACTAACATCAACGCTCAACAGAAAACACTTCCATTTTCATTCGTTTTCTTTAACGCCCATCACATCAAACAAACAAAAGAGTTTCATCTAAACTCATCATAACATCTCATCACTAGGAATATTTGCCTTTTACAAACCTGCAACGTTGCAAATGCGAGCGTAAGTAACCAGTGCAATGCACCCGCCATTTTAACTAAATAAAGACGATCGATTGACCAAGTTAATGATTTCATTATTGCTTCCAGCAATCCGCTATAGCGCTCGATATCCACGAACTTCAATAAGCTGAAAACAATCCATTAAAAAGTGACCGATACATTTTTGAAACAAACCAAAGAGTTAGTGAACAAAATCGAAAGGATGATAGTTAAAATGGAATAACTTACTGCAGCAGCTGTATAAGCAAAGAGCACCACTTATGAGCAATTGATCTTGACGCAAAAATGAAACCATTCACGAGAATATTATCCATTTCGGAAACGATGACATCCGTCACTCCCACGATGTATTGTCTGAAATAATGCATACAAAATACTATTGAACCTTACAGTTTGCATATACCCACAAATATCACTTGAATTATTCAATGCAACAAAACTTAACGAATCAATTATCAACTAACGCGTTCGGTAAAACACTCCAATTGTCAAGAAGCCATGTGAGCAAATCTAGCGCTCTGTGTTCATTCAGTAATCGAACTCCATTCGTTTGATATTGCTGCAGACTCGTATCATTTTCAGAGTTTGATCTACCACATGTTAATTTCACCAATCTTGCATGAAAATCAGTCGTTTCGATCATCATACGTCGTTGAATCCTACAAATAAAAATTCCGTCTATGATGAACAATGCATTAAAATTTCAGTGTGCAACACAGAAACAGTTATTTTCATTTGCTTCAAATTGGATTTCTATTGGGCTAATGTCACCAATAAAACTAAATCATATGAAATCATTTTCTTAAAAATGAACGCATTCTATAAATGTATGTATATCTGGATTGATTGCTATAGAAACCTTTCATGTCGTTCAGATGCTTTTTTGATTCGAAGCAATGAGATTGAAATTTCTTCAATCCATTCGATACCTTTACGCGCTTGTGCTGTTGAGGACGACGATTGAAACGGAAATCGTGGTGCCATATATGGAGCACCAGATCCTCTTGTATTTCCTCAAAACGAAAGAATAAATAAGTATGATAGAACAACAAATATGAGTCATTAGCAAATGAATCCAATTCCTCTTCAAAATTAATAGTACATCTCTTTCATCAGGTTTTGTTAAATGCACTTTTGCGTTCATTCATGCTCTTGATATGTCGAAACATTTCATCTTCTCTGAATATCAACGTAATTTTATTGGTGTCTTCCTGTGATAATATCCAAGCCCTACTGTACTTGTGAGTGAAACTTGACAAGTGAATGAAGTTGAGTGTAAAGATAACGACTGAATGAACATTAGGGAAGCGAAATTGAATTGATGCTATTTCATGCCATGCTCTTCATACACTTGTGCTATTCCGTTGCGCTCAATGTGTATTGAAAACAATTCTAGCCATCGCTTTTCATTTTGTTTTCATTACTTTCCGAAAATCAAATTCCAATCATCAAATCAGCTGCAGAAAAATAGAGTAATTTCCAGCAGAATAGAGCAAATTTAAGCATAAACAAACATATGCCCATATATGATCATTGAGTAGATCAAATTTTTGGCGTTTTAAAAAATGGCGGTAACAATGACCTAAAAAATCTTTTGAATATCAAGATATGCTTGAAACGTTGAGTCAATCTATCTCATCTCAACTTTGTTTCACGTTCTTTAACAATTATTCTTTTGAAGTACCCGGTGTGACCAACGGGCTCAAAATTCATTAGTCTGACTTGACGTGGTAAAAACAATTGACCGATTCAACAGAGTTTGGGGTCCATTTAGCCCTTTGGCCGGCTTATGTCATTTAAGAGTATTTAAGAAATTTAAAAGAAAAACTTCCATCCCGCAGCCTATTCTTTCGTATCATCACAAATTCTAATTAAATAAGCTGGAAAGTTAAGATTACAAACTGCTTAAATTCACTGAACAATGACAATAACTGAAGAACGTTTAAAAAATTACTTATAGCAATAACATCAGAGAATGAAACAGTGATCTTACCAGTTGGAGGTAAGTCGCTTTTCAGATGTGTTTTCTTTGTTGCTTTCGACTCTAAACTTTTTCTATCACCCATCGCAGCACCACCACGTCTACGCAAGCTTCGCGTCTTCGAACTCGTTTCTTGGCTAAAATTTCCTCTTGACGTAAACGTCTAAACTCATTCTCTCAAGCAGAAAATAAAACCACTTCGGCTCAGCACACAACGAAAGCAATCAACAATTTCACATCATGTACCAATCCAAATGATGTCTGCTAAACGAACAACATTTCATCACTTCGATCAAACTATTCACTGAATGAATCATTGAATGCTGCTGGTTGAATTGACTTAGTGAAATAGGTTTCAATAACTGAAAGTCATTTCTATTGAAAAAGATCAGTGTTAAAAAAGGAGACAAATACTCACGATGCACTCTTTTCTCTGTCGCGAATTTTATGAGCTGCAATGAGCTGTTCGAACGATACCTCAGATAACGATTCAATCACCAAATACAACGTTTGCGTCTTTGGTATTTTATTGTTTACTGCAAAAAAAAACATCATTTACACGATTCAGCAGAAAAACTACATTTCGATGCTGTCACAAGTTGAGCGGATACTCAGTTTTGCAATCTATAACGTTGCTCCAAGTTTACTTGCGAACAATCTATCATGTTCACGTACTCACTGTAACTGACGGTCTCTATTATTGCAAAGTTTGAATAATTGAACATGCCTGAAGGACAGAAAATTTAACCAGTGAAAAATAAGATTGACAAGAAAACTTTCTTTTAAAAAATTGCAAATTTTGAGGACAAGCAATAAGCAAGCGGTCACTACACTAACCTCGCGCATATTGTGAAACAGACGTGAAAATACGTCCTGGTAGCTGTATAATCGAACTTGCACGTCCAATTTCAATGTAATCGGCCAACAGTAAAGGACCAGCCATAATGTCGCACTGCAGCAAGTTATTAATAAAATACAAACATATTGTACAATCACGCATATGCAAAACATTTCTTCACTATGTATCGCTTCATTTCCAGGTGAGATGACTTTATAAGCATATTGTATCATTTGGCAACAAAATTCTTTATGAATTGATGGGAAATATGTGCACGAACCTGATCTCGAAGGTCAGCAATATCGACCATGAACGACGCTGGCCGAATATTGCTTGCTGACGAAGTTGCTGTTTTTGTTTTAGTTGGGTCTTTATTGGCTACGATTCGACGTCTTAGCACGGTGACTTGTAAGTCGGGACAACCAATACAAGACTGGTGGTATGCGAAACGTACATTCACATGTGACAACTGCATTGAAGTCTGAAATTATTCTAGTAAATCATACTGAACTGGCAGAGTTTATGATGCATACAAGACAACTGTGCCTTATGCTCATCAACTAAACTCGTTAACACTTCATTAGTTAGATTTCGAGACAGAACACATGAATAATCACCCAACAATCGCCATATAATTGTGAACGTTCGTACAAAAATTGAAAAAAAAAAGAATGAACCTGAAGATGTAGTTCGAACGCCTGAACATTTGGTAATCCGCACGCGTCTGGCTGTAAATGCCAGGTGCGTGTAGTTCGATCACTACGTAGCCAATGTTGTGGATTCTTACGTATTTTTTGCAGAAAATGCACTTCATTCCAACCCAGTGGTGGAACCACGTGAAAGCCGGTAATTGTCCCTCCACTGCAAAACAATTATGCACTAAAACTCGACGCTTCTAGGTGTAGGTGAACTCGACGCTTCTAGGTGTCAATGATAAATTAACAACACTCAGCCGGTGAAGAAGGTCATGAAAATATTCTCGAATATACAAATTAATGTTGTGAGAATCTCAACAATACTGTCGAATATTGTTGAAATCATCAATGGAACTGAGTGAGGACTGTCTTTGTGCCAGTCATCCCACTTCATCAGCATTGTTACGTTACAGAATTGTGGCGTCGCACAGACAGAATATTCATTTATACTCATTCACCTCCAAACATCTACTTGTCAATTCCGAACAAAGTCACAACTCAACAAATCACTAAATATTTACTTAAAAATACATGCTGCAAAAGTGAAAGAGCACTAACACAGAAAGAGTGCCTGGTTGAGTGAGCAGTAAGGATGAACCGCCATCACTTCTTGTTAATTCCCATAATTTGCGTAAATTCGATGAGCTCAACGGCTGCATAGCCAATATTTGCATTCTTGACGGTTGGTGTGATTTATGATCGAACGGCGTTCTCAATGACGAAACTTCGTCAATTGTCGTCGCCGAAGAAGTCGACGATGATGTGCCTATCAATGCTCGTTTTTTTAATGAGAACGCTGAACGCAATTCGAATAGAATCGAATGCAAGTGAATCACTCTGAGCATAAACCACACAGCAAGAAAGTAATCGCTGAACGACAACAACTACTTAGCAAAACAACGAAGAGGAATGTTTACTTTTCAGGCTATCACCATCGCATTTTAACACTACAATGCTGAACTACTAGCATGAAAAATTACTACCTCCTCATGCAATAATAATAAAAATAATAATGATAATAAATAATAGTAATAAATAACAACAACAGTAATAATGAATGATAATAATAACAGATTTTAAGTCCATATTTGAACCACTAATGAAAGGTTGATGATGAACTGAGAAAAATACTAAAAATTTACTAGTCAGTGGTAATTCAGAGGATGAGTTAAAATCAGATAGAAGCGCTGCAACAGTTTCATCTTCATTCTCCTCTTCCGCGATACGACAAGAACACATCTGTTCCACTTGTAGAACCAATACCTTGAATGAACAAATGGGCATTTATCATTTGCACTGATGATAGCTTAACAAAGTATTGTTTAAATTCAAATCGAATAATACAATGAACAACTATCAGAGGAAATGAATTGCGCGAAAACTCACTTAAAATTGTTTGTCAGTGTCTTTTTTAAAACTTACTCTACCAAAGTTTTTCGTGCTCCAAATTCGGTTTTCAATTCTCCGTATTCGAATGAATTATCATCATTTTATATCGATATGAATGCAGTATTTCGAACTGCAAAAACCATAAAACAAACGAACCTTTCCGTTCTCAGTAATCACCGAAACTTTGCCATTTTCCATCAGAGCAATATGCTTCGCCTTTTCATCACACAGCTTCACTTTTACGTTTCTTTCTACATCTATTATGAACACTTCACCTTCGTTGGTTCGCTACAAGAAAATTTTGTGCAGTGATAACATACAATATGAGCAACGCGCCCTTCTAATATACCACAGAGACAAACTGTTACTAAGGGAATGAATCAGCAAAAAATCGACGTCTTTGTATCATTTTCACCCATTTAATACTGACTTTCAACCATTCCAAATATTTTTCATTAACTGTACTCAGTCGCTGAGCGAATTTTCTCTTTGTGCATTATATGAAAGGAAAAATTCATTAGAAATTATTCGTTCACAGATGCAAATAGCGCAACTGTTCCATATTTGAAACTCTGATGCACTGAACGAACATAAGTTTAGAAGCAATAAAATATAATTTGTTGGAAACGATATGTGAACAGAACTCAAAAAATCAGCCAAACATACAATAATCACGCTTTCGAATAGATCGATTTCCATATTTGGCTCTGATTGTGAACTTGCCGATGGGCTAGAGAATGCATCTGTGTTGATTAGAAGAATCTGTTCAATGTAGTGATGGATATCGAAATAGATTTTGCAAGGTTCTTCCTGAAAATTATTTATCATTACTCAGTCATAAACAATCAATTGAAATGAATAACTGAACGATTCACAAAACAAATCACCTGAACTGAAGTGATATATTGCGTGAAAATAAGACGATAGACAATGATGGCTGATCGAATGATATTTTTTGAAGTGGCAGCATCACGAGTGACGCCAACAACAAGATGCATACCGTTGCTCGTGGGTAATATTGCCTTGATCTGAAATTACTGCAATCATTGGCTGTTCGCATCTCTTCACGCCATTTGCTACATTATTAGTAATTCATTCGGGCCGGGCCGTAAAATGTGCTTCTCAGTGATGCATAAATGAATCGATATAATGAATATTAAGAGCAATAATAATTCAACGCTTCATCATATTTTGCTCACTTTCGTTGTGCTATCATCAAGTTCGGTTGGTAATCTGAAGCACTGCATAAGTACCACATTGACCGGACTAGGATCGTAATTGACTGAGACGAAATCACCAGATGTCTTTTCGTCAAATTTCGGGGCTTCCTTCAAGTCAGCGTCCCATCCTTCCTCTACTGGAATTGATTATTGTTCTCTGTATATCCATCGCTTTACAAAAGATAACAAAACAAGTAGATTCATTGACATGAAACCTTACTAACCACTGATAAACATAATATCTGCGTTACTTCCTCGCAGAGCACTGATTTCATGAGGCACACATCTATTTTTGATGACTGTCCATTTTAGATAATGAAAGTGAAACTGATCAAAAACTAAACGTACACATTGTCTGATGCTCGTATTCTGGTTCACTTGCGTTCGCACACCATTCTAACGCTTCATTTTCACTTTCCATCAATAACATCGCCTCGGCAAAATCAGTTTCTTCTAGAGCGGTCATTTTTGAAATTAACGTATTATCATCTACATTTGATAATTTCGTACCAGCTGAATAAAAAGAATCGATGATTATTCATATTTCAAAACAATCAATCAATCAACACATTCGTACATTACTGTTGATTTGCTTTGTTTGAATGGACTCAGAGTATGAGTGCAGCACATATTGAAATTATAAGGTATAATCAATTAAACTCTTTTGACTTTTCGAAACTGCCATATGCATAAATGCAAAGATTATTTCCTCTATTTAGCGCATAATAATTCAAAAAAAAACTTTTAGAAAAATCAAAAAACATAAACTGTTGCTCAGACATTTACCGTTATTAGCGGTCGACTTATCGGCTGGTGTCGCACTGATCCAAGGTGATGACGGCTGCATGCACCACATTTCATCATCTTTCGTATCGTCTGAAATCATAATTTTGCATTTACGAATCACTTGATCAATTCATTAATCACCGATCCAAGAAACATACGCACATGCCAATATCACAAAGCCAGATACAACCTGTTCTAGTGGTGGCAATATTGGAATCAGTATTGTTTACAGTGGCATGATCGGCGATTTGATATACAACAATGAATGGATGGTAGCTTGGTGGAGAAGAAGTGCATGAGGACAATGACTGTTGCAGTGTAGTTGAATCCTCGGTAACGATTCGGGGTGTTACGTCTGCAGTACATACTGAATTCACCGAATTAAGCGCACACACTTCGCCAGAATCAGTGAAGGAATCTTCATCATGTCGCTCGACTAGAAATAATTAGCATGAAAGTTTATTTTGGCACATAGAGTCTGATTTTGAATGGTGACTGACTGGAAGACTTTTGAATGGGTGAAAAAACTTGGTAAAACAACAAGACATACAAATTGATTGTTTATGGAACACCTACCCTTGCTCAATTTGCAGCTGTCAATGCCAATGCCAACAACGATCGCTGGATGGCATCTGGCCGCAGCTGAACCAGCCACAGCTCCAACTGACGACGGTTCAATGATGCACGGAGCTCCAACCGTGCAAATGGCCACGATCAACATCTGAAATATTAGACTGATATGAGAAACGAGTGGGATTGGGTCGAATCCTTATCATGAATACAATTTCTGATGGTGAACGAATTAACCTGGCATTTGCTCAGCTATTTTCAATAGCCACGAACTTGGTTCTACAAAATCAATTATAGAATTCTTGATCGAAACGAAAATCATCAAAATTCCGTCGGCAGGTAAGGACTAAAATTCTGCAGATACTTGTGTTTTCAGTCATGTTATCTATATGCTTTCATTCATTCATGTTATCCACATGTAGCACAGTTAACTATGAAACCCAAACGATACATATAAATGGATAACCTCATCAGAACTGCTGCTTGTAAGAGTGTTTGTTTGTGATGATAAACTATTCTGCAATTCAACATTCTCATTTGAAGTTGCTGCTGTCCCTGGGCAATTTGAAGAGGAGGAAATGTCTGAAACATAATGAAACAATGAATATTACGCCGAATTTAAACATTCAAAGTTGTTGGTTCCAATAATACTTTACGATTCTCTTGTCTACGAAATATATTGCTTAAAACATCTTGATATCGAAATTTGTTCACTCTCTAGCAACTTCGAATGAACAGAAAAGTCTAGTTTCATGGTAGACAAAGAGTAAAGAAAATTTAGCCCATGTTATAGAACAGAGGGAGCCAAAAGAATCATTCTGAATACACCAAGTGAATTCGCTTTCTCAAGCAAAACTGAACGAAAAACAAACTCACATGTTTGTCCCAGAGACTGATTTACAATGGTGGCAGTGGCAGCAGCAGCACCGGAACTGGGTTTGGTTGCATTATTCTGTGCATTTGAAGCCTCACTGAAAAACCATTTTAAAGGAATAATGAACACTTTACAATTACAGTGAACACCGCAGAAACAACAAATTCTTGTAAAGGTTAGAGGACAGTTTACTGAGAGTGCTCAATTTATGCAATATTCATTGAATCATCCTTCTATGAAACAGTTCACTTCAGTTTCAAGTATTGATGAGCACTCATCCAAAAATCATTCCTTCTTATGTAGTTGGCTAAAAGTAATGAACAAACATCCATTTTACACGCACATTGTTTCATCACTCCAGTCACTCCAGGTAACCCGCGGTCCTCGACGAGGCACATCACTGAGTGAGTAACCAGTTCTCATTGCAATAAACTGATCGTTTAGATCGATCATAAAGTATTGATTTGCCTTAAACCCTTCCAAAATCACCATTTGAATTATGAATTTGAACACTTGATGCTGTGGTTATTTACTTCATAAATCAAAATTACGATCAAAACTTCTTTTCGCAACTGCACTTGAATGAATGATAAAACTAAAAAATCTCAACAACTCAAATAATCGAAGTTTCATTCTTATCGACGACAGTGTTAATGGCTATAATATCAACTCAAACCATGAAATATAATGCATCCTTCTTCTATAAGAGAATAAAGCAACCAACTGACATGAACAACTCTATCTGAACGCCATATGTGAACACGAGAAGAGTGCTGCGAAGCGACAGCGATCCATTCACAATTACTTGTTGTTGAGACAATAAATGAGACGACGGACGTACGTCGAAGCCGAATATGATGCGCGAACGGTGATAGAGATGACATCGTTACCGACAACGGCACATTGGGATTGGCGTTGTTTCGAATGAAACGACACCACTGTGAGTGACGCTCGTGCTCGGACCTTAATACTTGCATACGACTGCTGCACAATTATGTTCTGATTGCATCATTGCAATATATTCATATAGAATTGCCCTATCGTTTCATACTATAGTACACAGATTTTTGAAAAAAAAACACGTTACAATTAAAAGTATCTTTGAGAGTTTAGAAACGCAGCTCGGTGGTTATAGGCAAAAATAATAGAAAATATTGATAATAAGATGAAAAAGTGGCCATTAATCAATGAACAAATCCGAAGAAACAAACCATGGTTCATCAGATGGTTCCCAACAAACCAAACACACAAGACATGCGAAACACAACACTCGGTCGTCACCCGCTTTATTTGGTTGATGAAAGAAACCCGCTTCCGCCATTTGACATGGAAGTGCCCATCTAGTCCAGAATTTATTCATTTGTATGAGTATATCATAGTCACAGCTGTCATAACATTGGCAACAATAACATTGAAAATGGGACAATCTTCTCAACGCTTTAAATGAATCATCTGTTCGGATCAGAGCAAAATCATCACAATAAACCATCATCTATGATGAGATTAAAAATTTAAAAACTTAAATGACATTAACTTGAAAACGGATTGGAAAGAAAAAATTTTCATACTAATGAATAGAAATTTCTTCCAGATAACTCGTAGAAAGCCACCAGAAGAACATTATGAGCAACTGGTTTGAATGTGGAAAGTGTCCAAGATTTCTCAACTGAACCAAACCAATCGCGAATATCGCTCATCAGAGATTTGAACAGATCAGATTATGGCAGAAAGTTTATTTATAATACCTGTAATTCATATGCGGCCAATGTTCGAATGTTAACCGTCGTGCTGCTTCACTCATCATCACCTCTTTATCGATTCCTTTCCATTCAGGTGCATATTCAAAATTATACGGATGCTCAGGATTGAGTATCAACTGAAAATGCGACAACATCATTAGTGTATGTGTGTGTATATAAAGCGAGGCAATGTAGATAATGATGACTGCACAACAAAGCGCTTCATTTCGTTTCAGCAATCAGAACAGGGAAAAGAAGAAACATACTCTAATCCGTTCCGCTAACGCTGCAACATAAGGCCATACGGGAGATGTCCATTCAAGAGGCACGTCTGGCTGTCCATCTCCAGCACCTTCAACTGGACGAAGTTCACTGAGAAGTTCGACCGCATCCACTTCAACTACCACCGAATCATGCTGAATATTTAATTATTAATATTGATTGAAACAAACTTCATTCTACCCACCACTTACTTTTGATGGACACTATCAACTTAATTCACCTCACCCTATTCATCTGTTCCATACCAATAACTCTTTGAAATGTCACTGCTGACAGGAAATTCAACTGCAAACTTAATGGCACTTATGCAACTCAGTCTAGTGACGATATCCGAACGAGGAACTGATTCGGTCGAAACCCGACTCACAATTCTAAATTTGGTAACTACGGAAAAATCGAAGAAATGTCATCGGTTACCATCGCTGTTTCCGACTGCGAATTTCTTAACCTCAACCAGTGGAGGGGTTTCTGGCATTCTGAACTATGTAACATTCCAGCAAGATCCAAAAAAAAATCTGGGAGACCGAAGAAAACGACGATTTTCCATTAATTCATGATAAAACTGAGCTGATCTCATGGTAGATCAAAACATTAAGCAAAAAAATAAACATAATTATGCGGTTCAGAGTGCAAATTTCTTAATTGTACTCTGTGAATAAGATTCCAGCGCCTCGGATCTCGTAACTACCCAGCAACATTCGAAATCCAATCTTTCATTATCACAAAACAA